AATAAAGAAATAAAACAATTGTGACATGACGCCATACTGTGCTTTTGTCTTAGCTTGTGGATAAAATGTTGTCAATGGAGTCACAAGTCGAGCAGTGAGGACTGTAAATAAAGCAAGACTGCAAATATAGCGTGAACAATAACGTATCCTTTGGTCGAAAATTGCTTTGTTATTTACTCGGCAAGTTGTTCTTCCACTTTTAGGTTATAACAACGATGCGAACACACGGCCTTAACGAAGAAACGATAGAACTCACTTCAAGGGAAGTAGCGTGTGTGTGTGTGTGTGTGTGTGTGTGTGTGTGAGAGGGATCTGATTCGCAATGACCATGCGGATAGCAAGTTTTCCTGAAATCAACTAGAGGTTGTTCATACGTTGTTACCCGGAAAATACTGGTCAAATTTTCCACCTATCCCGACCCCCCTTAAATGAGTACTTTTGCTTGAAGACAGAACAACGACACAGTCTCTTAACCAGTCTCAAGTCGCGTGTTGCTCGATAGATCACAAGATATGATTGTTCACTGTATCACATAACGTCAGAGGACATATCTACAGTAAGAGGACATAAGTACTACGGTACAAAGGGAATGAACCGTATACATTTACATTTGCGGCGCGAACCTTTTCGCGCGCGCAGCTTGAAAGGAACAATGAAGCCAGCAGTTTTAGTAATCAGGTCACGTGGTCTGTATCAGGTGAAGAATCACGGTTCTGAATGCACTAAAATAGCTCCACAACCTTATGACAACATTTTATCACGTCAAAATAATTTATAAATAGTATTATAACATAGCTAGTAAATTTGCGTAATCAAATTCAATTGCGCGAGCGTGTTTCATATTCCTATTTTGCACGCTCATGACGTCAGCAAACAAATCCCTCGAGAAAACAATTTTCCATCGGGTTGAAAATGTTATAAAACAATTGGTTCATATGTCAGCTGTGCGTTCATCGAGATATGAAGCACGCGGGAAGTTTGGAGAGCACTCAAGAAGTTAGAGTTGCTCTCGGCTACGCCTCGAGCAACTTTTACGCATCTTTCGTGCTCTCCAAACTTCCCGCGTGCTTCATATCTCGATGAACGAACGCTGACGTATGAACCAATTGTTAATTATATATTATTTAAATTTCTATTTGTCAATATCACATCAGCCAAAACTTTAACTTACAGATTTGATATAGAAGACAATTACAAGAACGTATGAGGAAAGCAAGTTTATCTTTGATTGAATATTGGCCCTCGTGAAGACATCAGTGTATCCATCGTTCTCTAGAAGGCCTTCTTTGAACATTAAGAACATATCCATGGCGTGAATGAATGACAGTCAGAGTTATGGTCCAACTGATCAGTATCGTTATTTCCTCAACTGCAGGGGACTTTGTTTTTCTCGTTCCGGATATGAACAAACTGAAGACGAAAGAAGTGGTTCAATATTAAAAAAAGAGGGCAACGAGAAGTTGTTAAGAAGTCGCGGAAATAGACCTTATTCGCCGCCTACGTCACGATGCTTTTTTTGTGGTCTGTAAAGATCATTTTCACGTGACGTCACAGAATTAATTTGCGCCATGTTGGTGCACATTTGAGTCATATGTTTTAGCCATTATTTACATGTAAATACGGTTCAAATTTACAGTTCCTTTCAGTTTACTAACGAAAAAGAAATCTATGGCGTCTACCGAAAAAATTGCTATTCCTTCATCTGATCCAGACCATGTCGTCCAAATTCCACTGATTACCTTAAAAAACTAAATGTAAAAGTCACAGAGCGATATCTAAAGAAGATCTAGACTATCGGAATTTTGATAGACGGGAAATCCTCGGAGCCTGATTGCTTACCGTTGGTGGAATCCACTGATTTGCTTTGCTAGCTGGTTCTTGGGAGACTAGCTTTATACGCAAAACACAATTTAAAGCCTTCCGCAGTCTCGGGCCTATAATCAAATGGTGTCAGACTTTGTTTACAACGCTCAAGGATATATCATTGCAAAAAAGTACGTGGTGTTGACAAAGGTGTAGCACTCGCAGCGCATGAGCGATACCTTGATTCACATTTGGATTATTATCGCGAAGAATGGGACAATAAATTGTGCTCATTGTTTGGATGAGGTGAAAGGCAGGCCTCGCCGAATCATGTTCGCACGTAACTAGTGTGCTATATTACCTTAAGGCTTGGACAAAGGTAAGCGGAAGGTATAACAAATTCTTACGGACTTAATGCACGAGCCCACGAATTGGAAATTTTGTAAGGTTTTTGTTAAAATTTTGAACCTTTCGGGATGTTCATAGTCATTTCCACATTACCACACGGATCAATGATTTCCTCGGCCTATCAGGGAAAGAAGAGGAAATTTCTAGGTATTTATGGCCCTGCATCTCACACAACAACAAAACAAAGGTCGAAGCCGCGCGAAACGACATGCCCCTTGAGGAAGCTGGTACAGAGTTGGCCAATCCCGGCCTTCATTTGGACGCATTAGTAGCAAAGTCGCATAAAGCATTGCATAAAAGTGATCAGGAGGCAAATAGGAAGCAACAACTTTACAACATCACTTGCGTCACTCGTGTGTAATTACGGAAGCCTTCTTACAGGATAAAGAAATTCATGAAAACCAAACATGCTTTGTGTGTGGACAATCCCCTCCCTCTTCCAGAGGACATGTTGTAGTGAATATTTCATGTACAGTCCCTCTTCATTGGTGAATTTAGGGAGTCCCTAGCTTTTTCATGCATGATTTTGCCAAAAAGGCCAAAGCCTACATGATCAAAATAATATTTTTAAAATTTGGTTAAGGTTGTCCTTCCAATACGTCTGATTAAAGAGCATATTACCTCAACATTTTAATTGTGAGAGCCTGAGAGAGAGACAACAAGTCACACCATGAAGGCCCAGTGACATCCCTCGGTAAAGATTCAGAGGAAGGTCTTTTTCTTTTTGCAACTTTCCCAAAACTGGATGCAGCAAGTTTCAACTAAAATTGGAACACAACATAGTAGGAAAATTTTAACAAAACATCTTCAGTGTGTCAACATCCGCTGCTCGCAGCCACGCGACTTTATATCCAACTCTGACTGCAACTATATAGAAAGCAGTTGTTGCCGATTTGGGCAACCTAAGCTGTTGTTTTAAAATGGATTTACACCGAAGATGGCCACCAGCTTATTGATTTTAATCAGCCCTTCCTCTCCGGTGCTTCTCTGCGAACATATGCAGATGCATTCCATCAAAAGGGTGCGGCGTTGAATAACTACTGGGGTTTCATTGATGACACTGTCGGCCCTATTTACCGCCCACTCCAAAATCAACGAATCGTCTACAACGGCCACATACGGATACATACCTTGAAATCCCAATCTATTGTGACTCCAAATGGTCTCCTTGCCAACTTATATGGCCTAATAGGTGAGTGGAGATATACTTGTATTCAAAAAGTAATTACCAAATTAAATATAGTTTCATTTCCGGGGTTATCACAGTTTTAACTTGAAGGAAACACTCTACTATTTTTTGTGTCATTTGCTTTATTTATGCGTGGCTTATATGTGCTCCTGCTATTTGTGAAACGACAACTAAAATGATAAAATTACAGATAAGAATACCACAGAAACTTTGGTACAAGATGGGGTTGCTTTGATACGTTTTTGGACAAGTCAGGGAAGGCAAGGGCTGGTCTACAAAAAAAGAAGGGCTTGACATAATCGTGCTGTTCTTGTTATACAATATTCTTCATTTTTGTCTTTAAAGAGGGTAGGAGGCATGACAGAGGGACGCTTGCTGATTCCGGGGTGTACGAGCTAGCTAGGAACTCTTTCGACCCGGCTGAGCACCTTTTATGCTTGTACGGAGACCCGACATACCCACTGAGAGTCCATCTCCAAGCACCCTTCAGAAATGTGGTTCTTACCCAGCAGATGGAGGATTTTAATAGTTCAACGAGTTCCGTTCGTTCTTCAGTAGAGTGGCTCTTTGACGACATAAGTAACGATTTTAAGTATCCTTATTTGAAGAAAAACTTAAAGATAGGTTTGAGCTCAGTGGGAAAAATGTACATTGTTTCTGCTTTTCTTAAGATATCCTTTCACATGCTGGCATGGAAACACCACATCCATGCTTTTTGATCTCGACCCTCCAAATAATTATGATTATTTCTCTTAAATTATCAGTTTCTAACACGTTGTGTCAGTTAGGAATATTATTTAATGATATCTTGTGAAATAAACAATGAACAAACGTTTTTGTCGATAGTCAGGTGATCCCATCTGAAATCACTTCAAGTACGTATACAAGCTCCCTGAATGTAAACACATGGCAGAACAAGTTTCAAGGCTTCGATAAATAGAGAATACATGGGCACACGTAGATATGGAATTTCGCTTCGAGTGTTTAACTCGATAGCTCACGAGTGAGATGTCGAATTGAACACGAGAAGAGAAATTTAATATCTAAAAGCAACCATGCATTATTTTGTTTATTATGTAAACACAATAGCCCTTTACTGACAAGAATAGTCAACTTTATTTATAAATGAAAATAGATGGATTGACAATCCGCGAATAAAAATCGTAAAGTGCGTTGGCGCTAAGGCTTAAGATGAAAAATTGCGTTGAAAAACTACAAAAACAATGGGCATAATTTTCAACATGCAAAATTCTCAGTTACTGACTTGGTCCTTACTTTCAGAAGAAATCTCTCAAGTACAAAGCCAAAATCGGACTGTGGCAAATTTTCCAGTTGTCGATTTTCGTTCTCAGCCGCGATAAATGCCTTTACCAAAGCCACTGAATACGTAACTTTCGGTTTTTCTTTCCATATTTTGGTTTTCTTTCCCTTCTAGAAAAGTTTGAACGTCACTGTCTGTAAGCGATACGGATTTTTCAGTGTTTTAGTAGCTATAATCCGAACAGACGAACGACCTTGGATTGAGAATGGTGAAGGCTTTGCCTTTCATTCATTAACCTGCCCGAGTGGCGCGAAAAGAGAGTGACGTGTCAGCAGCTGATTAGCGATATAAAACACACGTTTTTACTGCTTTTCTCAGGGCTTGAAATCCGTGTATAACACCGTAGTTTATATGATGATTATTTTTAAATCATTAACAACACAACAAAGTTCTAGATTAGTTGCTGAAGGATGCAAACATTGTTCACTAAATTACTCATTGAAACAATGTTCAACAAAATAACGTTGCACTCTATTTTTGTTCTGAAAATTTCTGAAGTAAGGTGGTCATACTCTTCCGAGTTTCCATTAACTCGGTCTGCATCTGTTCCAGTTGTTGCTGCATCTGCTGTTGATTCTCTTGCCGTAGTTGTTGATTCTGTTGCCGTAGTTGTTGATTCTGTTGCTGTAATTGTTGATTCTGTTGCTGCAACATAGAAATCATCTCTTGTTGCTTCTGTTGCTTCTGTTGCTCAATTATAAGCAACAGCCCATATTTCATAGCTTCAAGCTCTTCTCTTTGACACTGAAACTCCATCTTACTATGCTTCTTTAAAAACTGGACTGTGTCGCTGCCACTTCTCCACTTTTTACACAGCTTCTCTTCTGGCGACTCATCTGGATCAGCTTTCCTCTTCTTAGAAGCACCAAAAGTTTCCATCTACGAATTAAACGTACACTGTATTTTAAAAATAACCCGACGAATTCAAGCCTTAACAATTAAAGCTTTTCTAATAATAGACACATCCCTTTTGTAATTATTATTTCGTACAATTACAAACTATTAAGCTTATGAGTCGTTCTGCCTTGGTATATCAAAGGCAGAAATTGTTTTACATGTTATATGTGTAATGTTAAAGCGATCAATTGTCATCCATTGTATACTCATTATTTTTGCCAGCTATTTTGATTCAAGTATCGGAAAAAAAAATTTTGCGAAGAATGCACTCATGTCGTGTGTACAAGAAGCGCGTATTTGTCTGCTTGTGAACATGGCGATTTGCACATTAAATACAAGATTAATTTGAGTCGATTAAAAAAGCTTCTCTGCTAAATGAAAGGCCAAGAGCGAGGAATCGCAAAAATTGCGTAAATGTTATTTCAAGCTATAACAATCTACCGGTTAAACATTGAGAAAATCGGAAAAGACAACTTATTATTCCGTTGAATGAAAGCAACCTCTTCGATGGAAGCTAGTTTGGCATGCGAAAACAATTAAAAAAAATTAGCCACATAATGCTTGCAGAACATTATTTAAAAGGTAAAATCAATCATTATGGAAGTTTCAATTCCAAGTTGAATTAGTCCGGAAGTAAGCTAAAAGTGATCAAAACAAAAGATTAAGCACCCCCATTCTCGTCGCAACGTGAAACCCCCCCGTTCTCGCCTTCGGGACAATGGCAAGTCACAACGTGTTGTACATGCACAGCGAGGACTGCAAAGAAATTTCACGTTTCCAGTTGCCTTCATGAGGCCGGCGACGTCTGTTGCTTAGGGTACCTAATCTTACAGGGATCGACTTGCACCGAGAAGGGGCAAGGTGAATTGTGGACGGAAAGCAATCAATGTAAACACACCTGAAGGGAACTTGATTCTGGACAGATCTTGAGTATACCTGCAAAAATGCAACAAAACGTATCGTTAATTAAAAATTACACCTGGAGAGGAACACAAATCAATGCTGTTCATCTAAAAAGAACGAATTTATCTTCTTACTTGATTGAAGTTCTGATGACCTGATCTGTAGATACAAAAAATATTATTCACGATCATATCATCGTAACACAAACATAGAATAGATGAGGGAAAAAAAGTGAGAGCAGCTAAGATGATCTGAAGCATACTCAGAGGTATACTCAGAGGTATACTCATCGCAGCGGCAAACAGACAGTCGACGGTTATGTTCCATCTAGATGCATTTCAGGGTACTACCAATTTCATTGCAATAACCCACCCAATGTGCAACATGTATTCCTCACAAAGCAAAAAGGCAAAATTCATAATCATGCCAACAAGGTAATATAGACCATGAACAAATGGGGTGGAGGTTGTTTAATCACTTGGAATTCTCCAATTAAAATAACATCTCATAATCCATGAAATATTTTTGCTCGCACGCGATTGGATTAAACGCATCGCGTGACCGAATATGCCCCGGCTGAAACTGGGGAATGTCTTGTACAACCAGTCTTCCTTAAAAATTCAAATCAAGCTGAGAGCACTTTTTGGTTGTTACAGAAGAAGGCATATATTTGTTTGTTCATAAAGTTACACAATAAAACACTGAAAACTAAACATCCCTTGCAGTAACCAGTAAGCACGTTGCAAAAAAATTTCAGAAGGATAAACACAATAGCTTCCATTTAGCGCTAAAATATGCTCGTATATTTGTCCCTGAACATTATCTGTCCTTCGTGGCTCGCAGTTTGCCTCGGAACAGCCAACGTCCGCTAACAAATATCTGTACATATTTTCTTGCCAAATGGAGGTTATTTAATTATCACAAAATGCGTAAGGCTCCAAATGTTCTTCCTTTCAAAAAATGCTAGGAAAAAAAGAACCTCTCTAAAAGATAAATAGGATGGTGCAAGCACACCAAAACAGGGCAAGATGTCAGTCGAAAGACGAAGGGAGGTAGACGTTGAGGATTTGAACAGATCGGCGCATAATAATGGTAACGACAGTAGTAACTAATCTTCCATACTTCATCATTAGAAGGCACAGCTGTGTGAAGTGGTTCATCCTCTTTGTTCATTGCAGTGGACACTGGTTGTGATGTATTCGTTGCGTCCATGCGAGAAAGATTTTCTAGTTCTTGTAAGACACCTAAATTTCAATTGAGATAGTGATTCAAATAACAGATGAAAGGAAAACATTTTTAAACAGTAACATAATTTATGATAAATGATATCTATTTCAGCAAGTTTTAAGAACCTTTGAAACTATGTAAATTGTACTAATTTTCCTGTAATCTACAGTAGTTGAGATTCTGCTCTTGATCATTAGAATGAACATCTCAATACTTACGGCTCATATGTTCATCGAAAACTGGTGCCAATGTTAATGGATCACGTAAATTAACAGTTTGGTCATCAACTACACTTGGGTCACTCGTGTTGTTCATCTGAGGATTTCCAGGTGTTGAATGTTCCATCACTTGCGATTTTATTTGACTTGTACTCGGAACCTAATAAAAGAATTACGAAAAGTTATACATTCATTCATGATGAAGAATTGAATTACACAACCACCTGCCTCACTATTATTGACCGAGTTACATTTGAGCCCATCTCAAGAGATTGAGTTAATTAAACTTGATCTAAATAACTTGAAACATTTAATAAGAGATTACTCCTAAAGATACTAAAAATACATTGCTGGTAACTCAGTCAGTAATAGTGAAGCAAGTGGTGGACAGTGGAATTTAATTCTTCATCATGAATGAATGCATAACTTTTCGTAATTCTTTTATGTTTGAAGGGTTTGCTAACCTCAAATGTGAAAGTTTTCTTACTGCAACTATAAATTATCTGTCCTTCATAGCTTGCAGATTACCTCGAAACAGCTAACGTCCGTGAACAAATATCCGTGAATATTTTTTCGCCAAATGTAGGTTGTTTCATTCAAACAAAATGCATAAAGCTCCGAAAGTTCTTCCTTTCAAAACAATTCTGTTAAAAAAAAACTAAAAAAAACATGAATAGGATGATGCAAGTGCACCAAAACAAGGCAAGATGTCAGCCGAAAGACGAAGGGAAGTAAATGTTGAGGATTTGAAAAGATCTGCGCATAATAATGATAACAACAGTAACTAATCTTCCATACTTCATCACTAAAAGGCCCAGGTGTGTGAAGTGGTTCATCCTCTGTGTTCATCACTGTAGTGGACTCTGGTTGTGGTGTACTCATTGCCTCCACACCATCATCAACATTTTCCAGTCCTTGTGAAACAACTAAATTTCAATTGAGATAAATGACAGCTATTCAAAAAACAGATAAAATAAATACATCTTTTAAAGACTGACATGACTTATGATAAATTAAATCTATTTAAGTAAGTTTTAAGAATCTTTGAAACTATGAAAATTGTACTCATTTTCCTGTAAACTACAGTAGTTGAGATTCTGCTCTTGATCATTAGAATGAACATCTCAATACTTACGGCACATATGTTCATCGGCCATTGTTACTGGATCACGTAAATTAACAGTTTGGTCATCAACTACACTTGGGTCACTCGTGCTGTTCATCTGAGGATTTCCAGGTGTTGAATGTTCCATCACTTGCGATTTTATTTGACTTGTACCTGGAACCTGATAAAAGAATTACGAAAAGTTATGCATTTATTCATGAAGAAGAATTAAATTCCACTGTCCACCACTTGCTTCACTATTATTGACTGAGTTACATCTGAGCCCATCTCAAAAGATTGAGGTAATTAAACTTGATCTAAATAACTTGAAGCATTTAATAAGAGATTACTCCTAACGATACTAAAAATACATTGCTTATAACAACTTAATTTATGACAAGGTGGCACAAAGGAGAGCTTTCAACTATTTCAAGAGGTACTAAAAGCAAGTTGCATGTAACCAATTTTTTACACTTTTTTTCTTTGTTTAAGATTGGTGACCTCAAAAACCTACGAAGTATAAATTCCAATCAAGCCTGTGCCACTGATTGACTTTTTATAGACTTTTTCCAAACAATTAATTTGAATTCCGAACTATAAAAAAAAAAGACTAAAACTTATGAGCCTATTTTCATGGCCCAAGCATTTATTGATTAGAGAGACCTTTGTAGTATGTATGAGGGCTTGCAAGCCTCAAACGTGAAAGGTCTTTCACTGTCCTATTAAAGCATGCCTTAGACAACTTCTGTAATTTAGATGATTAAATTCAGGAACCTAACAAAGACAGCTCACACATCAACTACACATCAACACTTTTTGCAGGGTGGAAAGGGTATTTTGAAAAGGAACTAGACTTTTTGAACCCTAAGGCCAGTTACATCCAAGTCACCCCTGAGACCCCAAAAGCCTGAGACAAAACAAAGTCCCTTCAAAACTAACAATGAAAGAATTGCATTTCATCTGAGGATCAAACTGAAATGCAATTTTAACCCCATGGTTGATGTACCTTCAGTAAATAATAACCCTTTGACCTGTAAGAGTGACTCGCATCTAACATCATCTCTGAATCACACATTGAGGTGATCATGAGAGTGAGGGAAAAGATCACCAATCTAAGAGGCTCCTGATAAATACACAAATTCTCCTTGTCAGCACCTTAGGAGATGTATAAAGATGGAGAACAAGCATTCTTAGGGAATGCAAAGGATTAAATAAATATATATAGTATCAACAACATCCCGAGTGCAGCTATATATTAATATTCCATATCATCAGTCACTTTTACATCAGAGGCGTTATAAAATGAAATCTCCAAATTGTTTGGGGTCCACTGGTGTGCAAGATGTCAAACATAAAAAATAGAAACTTTTGCTACATGTTTCCTTCCAGAAAATTTAATATCCAATTTTTCATACCATTTCCATCAATTCTGCACCATCATCTTTTCTCTCTAAGCTTTGGTTTTATTTTTATTGTTGCCAGACCCCAGATAGTAACACAAAACTAGAATTGACGATTAAGAATATATGAAGGTCATATATTCCCTAAGAATGCTTGTTCTCCATCTTTATACATCTCCTAAGGTGCTGACAAGGAGAATTTGTGTAATTATCAGGAGCCTCTTAGATTGGTGATCTTTTCCCTCATGCATCATAGAATTATAATAACTTGTAACCAACAATTAATGCCTGATTATATATTACATAAATAACAAAATAAATTTAGTTCATTATTCAACAAGGAGATTAATCAATACCTCCATTAAAATATAGAGAGTCGAATTTCCTTGAATGGTTCTTTTGATAAATTTTCCATCCCAAACTCTTGGAACACCATGGAAAAATAATTTGTCTACTTCCTTTAATTTGCGTGAGGCACAATAGAAACTAGAAAAAAATCAGAGCAAGTCAGCAACCTGTCTGGTTTAGTTAACTGCTATGTTGTCTGAATGCAGTTTAAACTAAGTAGGTCAGAAGGATCACTACTCTACAATACTGTACTGGCTTGATTCCAGAGCCTTAACTAAGTGCATATGCAGCCAGAATTGACTCTTATGAAATTGAAAGGTTGTCATAGGTGGTGGAACAAGGTAGGCAGAGGAGGGAGGGAGGGAGGGAGGGAGGGAGGGGGGAATGTAACCCCCCAAAAATTTTTGGAAAGGCACATCCCCCTCCCACATCTCAGTACAGAAAATATTACAAAGTACATGATAAATTGGCTGTACAAGTACTGTGATGTACACAATGTATGTACATGTAGCATTAAGACTAGTCCTTCTGAAGCAAAAGTAAAAAACTTACCTTAAAGTTTGTGTTTTATCTCCTACTAGAATAGGGAAATTGTTTTTCAATTCTTTCTCCACTTCAGCAGCACTCATTGCTGAAGAAATCTGTACACCAGTTTTAAACTGGCCTGTATGTGGTTTCTTGATTTTAGCCATTTCAATATTGATTGGGAAGAACACTGTAGTGCCCTTCATAGTAACATCTTCACTTTTCAAAACCACAACACTCATCCCTTTAGGTTGTGATTTACCCATTTCTTTTCCTTTAGTAGATTCATCAGATCTATAAGATGCTGCCTCCATCTGTTTTGTAAGACATCATGACATTTTGGTAAGTGCAGACTGAGATGGTTTGTATGACAACAAACTATATTTAACTATTTTTATAATTTGCATATACAAGCATGTGGGATGTGATACCAACTTAGAATACTGGAAAATTATTAATTCCTAGTTTTTTCCCATATAAAATCCAACCTCAACACACAAAAAAATCCTACTCCAGCAAACACTTAAAATACTTTGCTTCCAACAACTTCATTTACTACAAGGTGGTAGAAAAAAGGGCCTTCAACTATTTGAGAGGTCTGAAAATCAAGTTGCATCTAACCAATTTTTGCACTTTTTTCTTTGTTTAAGATTAGTGAACTCAAAAACCAATGAAGTTAAAATTTCAATCAAGCCTGGAGTTTCCTGTGCCACTGAATGACTTGTATAGACTTTTTCTGCACAATCATTTTAAATTTAGGCTTAACATTATGAGCAATTATTTTGAAGGCATTAGCAATTATTAATTAGCGAGAAATTTGCTGCATGTTTGAGGGTTTGCTAACTTCAAACATGAAAGTTTTTTCACTGTTTTATACATTATCTGTCCTTTGTAGCTACCAGTTTTTTCCACAAACAAACATCTGTGAATATTTTCTGGCCAAATGGAGGTTATTTAATTATAACAAAATGCGTAACACTCCAAAAGTTTTTCCTTTCAAAAAAATGCTCTAAAAAAAACTATCTAAAAGATGGTGCAAGCAGACAGAAACAAGGCAAGATGTCAGCCAGAAGATGAAGGGAAGTAGATGTTCAAGATTTGAACAGATCAGTGCATAATAATTCTTACTGGATCAAGTAGATGTTGTGGAGCCTCTTGTGCCTTAACAGTTTGCTGATCAACTACACTTGGGTCACTCATGCCGTTCATCTGAGGATTTCCAAGTGTTGAATATTCCATTACATATGGTCTTATTTGACTTGTACCTGGAGCCTAATAAAAGAATTATGAAAAGTTATACATCCATTCATGATGAAGAATTAAATTCCACTACCACCTGCCTCACTATTATTGACTGAGTTACATCTACATCATATTTCAAGAGGTACTAAAGTAAGGTTGCATGCAACCAATTTTTTCACTTTTTTTTCTTTATTTAAGATTGATGACCCCAAAAACTGACGAAGTAAAAATTTCTATCAAGTCTGGAGTTGCCTGTGCCACTGAATGACTTGTATGGACTTTTTCCACGCAATCATTTTGAATTCCAGACTAAACGTTATGAGCATATTTTCAAGGCCTAAGCAATTTTTAAATCGAGAGACCTTTGTTGCATTTTGAGGTTTTGTTAACCTCAAACATGAATGTTCTCTCACTGTTCTATACATTATCTGTCCTTCATAACTCCCAGCTTTCCCCAGAACAGCTAACATCTGTGAATAAATATCCGTGGGTCTTTTCTTGCCAAATGGAGGTTATTTAATTATCACAAAATGTAAGTCTCCGAAAAATTAGTAAAAAAAAAACCTCACTAAAAGATGAATAGGATGGTGTAAGCGCACCAAAACAAGGTAAGATGTCAGCCGAAAGACGAAGGGAAGTAGATTTGGAAGATTTGAACAGATCTGTCCATAATAATGATAATGACAGAAGTAACTAATCTTTCCATACTTCATCATTAGAAGGCACAGCTGTGTGAAGTGGTTCATCCTCTGTGGTCATAATTGTAGTGGACACTGGTTGTGATGTATTTATTGGCTTTATGCTCAAAATATTTTCCAGTTCTTGCATATAATCAGCTACATTTCAAATGAGAAAAATGACAGTGATTCAAATAACAGATAAAAGGAATACATTTTTTGAAGAGTAACATAAGTTATGATGATTATATCAAGTTTTAACAATCAACCTTTGGAAGTATGTAAATTGTAGACACTCATTTTCCTGTAATCTACACTAGTTAAGTGATCATTAGAGTGAACATCTTAATACTTACATTGCGTATATTCATCGGTATATGGTGGTGTTGCTACTAGATCAAGTAGAAGTTGTGGAGCCTCCTGTGCCTTAACAGTTTGCTGATCAACTACACTTGAGTCACTCATGCTGTTCATCTGAGGATTTCCAAGTGTTGAATATTCCATCGCATATGGTCTTATTTGACTTGTACCTGGAACCTAATAATGGAATTATGAAAAGTTATACATTCATTCATGATGAAGAATTAAATTCCACTACCACCTGCCTCACTATTATTGACTGAGTTACATCTGAGCCCATCTCAAAAAATTGAGTTTATTGAACTTGATCTACCAGTATATAACTTAAGACAACTAATCTTCCCATACTTCATCGTTAAAAGGCACAGCTGTGTGAAGTGGTTCATCCTCTGTGGTCATCATTGTAGTGGACACTGGTTGTGATGTATTTACTGCCTCAAGGCCACAAATATTTTCCAGTTCTTGCATATAATCAGCTACATTTCAAGTGAGAAAAATGACAGTGATTCAAATAACAGATAAAAGGAATACATTTTTAAATAGTAACATAATTTATGATGAATATATCTATTTACTATGAATATATATCTATTATCTATGAATATATCTATTTAAGACAAGTAATTAGAGATTCAGGCTCCTAAAGATACTAAAAATACATTGCTTACAACAACTTAATTTATGACAAGGTGGCACAAAGGAGGGCTTTCAACTATTTCAAGAGGTACTAATTAAAGTAATACCCCATTCACACCAAAGCTTAAACATGTTTTAAAGCTTAAACATGTTTTAAAGCTGTTTTGTTTTTTCTAACACAGTTTAATTTTTTCTTCATAGACACTACTTAACCTAAAATGTTTTTACTTAAAATATAACACATTGAAAATGCAGCTTAGCAAGTGCTTGTATCCAATGGAAAATTAAGTTTATTCAGTTCTCTGTTTATGATTTCCATTCATTAAAAACCAGTTTAACAAAACATGTTTTGCTGGTGTGAATAGGGTATATGGTTGCATACAACAAATTTTTTACACTTGTTTTTTCTTTGTTTAAGATTGGTGACCTCAAAAAGCCAACAAAGTAAAAGTCTTAATCAAGCCTGGAGTTGCCTGTGCCACTGAATGACTTGTATAGACTTTTCCCAAACAATCATTTTGACTTCCAGACTATATGTTATGAGCAGATTTTCAAGACCTATAGGCAATTATTAATTAGAGAGAAATTTGCTGCATGTTTGAGGGTTTGCTAACCTTAAAGTGAAAGTTTTTCACTGTTCTATGCAGTATATGTCCTTCGTAGCTACCAGTTTTCCTTGGAATAGCTAACATCCACAAACAAATATCTGTGAATATTTTCTTGCCAAATGGAGGTTATTTAATTATCATAAAATGCGTAATGCTCTGAAAGTTCTTCCTTTCAAAAAAATTACTTAAAAAAACTATCTAGAAGGTGAATAGGATGGTGCAAGTGCACCAAAACAAGGCAAGATGTCAGCTGAAAGACGAAGGGAAGTAGATTTGTAAGATTTGAACAGATCTGTCCATAATAATGATAATGACAGTGGTAACTAATCTTCCATACTTCAAGGCACAGCTGTGTGAAGTGGTTCATCCTCTGTGTTCATCATTGTAGTGGAGACTGGTTGTGATGTATTCATTACCTCCATGCCGAAAAGATTTTCCAGTTCTTGCATTTAATCAGCTACATTTCAAGTGAGAAAAATGACAGTGATTCAAATAACAGATAAAAGGAATGCATTTTTTAAAGAGTAACATAATTTATGATGATTATACCTATCTAAGTAAGTTTTAACAATTAACCTTTGGAATTGTATCTCAATACTTACAGTACATATATTTGGTACATGGTGGAGTTGTTACTGGATCAAGTAGATGTTGTGGAGCCTCCTGTGCCTAAACAGTTTGCTGATCAACTACTCTTGAGTCACTTGTGCTGTTCATCTGAGGATTTCCAAGTGTTGAATGTGGCATCACATATGATCTTATGGTATTTATACCTGGAACCTTATAAAAGAATTATGAAAAGTTATACATTCATTCATGATGAAGAATTAAATTCCACTACCACCTGCCTCACTATTATTGACTGAGTTACGTCTGAGCCCATCTCAAGAAATTGAGTTTATTGAAGTTGATCTACCAGTATATAACTTAAAACAAGTAATCAGAGATTGCTCGTAAAGATATTAAAAATACATTGCTTACAACAACTTAATTTATGACAAGGGGGTACAAAGGAGGGCTTTGAACTATTTCAAGAGGTACCCTTGCGAAATGGCTTTTGGAATTCCTAGGAATTCCTAGGAATTCCTAGGAATAAAGGTGTGAATTTTCACGGTAAATTCGGACTGGGAATTCCTAGGAATTCCCAACCATAACAACTCTGGTTCTAAAAACCTAGAAATTCCTAGAAATTCCCAGAAATTCCAAGTTTATAGCCAACAGGACTTGGAATTCCTAGGAATTCCTAGGAATTCCAACTCAGAGAACCAATGACTTTCCCTGAAAAGCTGTAAATCTAAAAAATTCCTAGGAATTTCTGGGAATTTCTGGGAATTTTTGGGAATTTTTAGGAATGTTTAAGAATTACTGGGAATTTTAAGCAAAAATTTGAGGCTAATGATATAAAATAAATACTTTAAATTAAAAAAACCCAGCTAAAAATTCAAGTATTCAATGAAATTTATTTAAAAGCTTGATTAAGGTGTACATGTAAAATATTTTTGATTAATTATTAACATCAATGTGTGGTAATATTAGGATGGAATTTGATTTATTTTTCTTTTCTTGAAAACTTCATACGGATTAATCCTCAATTACAGCTATTCATATAAAATAGTTCTAATCAATCATTAAAGTTGGTTTGACACAAATTGTAAATAAAATCTGTTGATTCTTTTCCAAAAAATACAATATCCTAAGTTATATTTAT